TAATATAACCAACTACTTACCTCCCACGCATCTTAATGGCACTCAAATAGATTATCTCATTACCACCAAGATTATTGCAAGTCAATATCACACCTGTCCACGTAGGTTTGCCTCCCTATAAAGACTATTGCAATTTCAGTTGTCATCTGAAAACGAACTTCATTCTCCCATCACATTGTGTAGTCCACTCACAACTCTTTTAAGAACTAGAATCGTAACTCCTATTTCTAACTCCTCCTTTGTCAAGGCCTGAATGCAAATTTTTGTGAACTGTAGAAGATATTTTAGTAGCTCCACCTGTTACTGTATTCCCTTGGAAAAGATACAAAATTTTCACATTGGTGCCTTGTAGCACTACAAGAGAATCCATCACGACCATCATTGTTCCACCATCTGTTACAACCTTATAACCTTTGGAATCTAGCACACCTACTGAAATAAGATTCAACTTCAGATCTGGTACATGTTGCACATCTGATACTGTTCTCACCAACCTATTATGTGTCTTGATATTGACTGTTTCAATTCCTAAAATTTTGAAAGCTTTCATATCTGCCGTCAAAATCGAATCACATTTCACTTCTTTATAGGAGGAGAAAGAATCCCTGGGACACATATGAACGGAACAACCAGAATTAAGAATCCAAATGTCATTAAATGACATACCTGAACATAAGATTGTCACGAGAACATATTTATCACTTTTTGAATCACTCGTTGTAGCAGTTGCCACAGAAACTACTTTTTAAACTCTCTCTTTGCCATTCACATTATTTACCTTTAGTTTAGGACAGTGCTTGATGATGTGCCTTACCTCATGACAGAAACAACATTCCAAATTTTTATAATATCTAGGTTTGCCTTTACTACCAGAACTCTTTGTCTCACTTTTGCCTTTTACAAATAGACCATCGACCTGTTCATCTCCAATATTCTTGGATACCTTTTTCCTCAACTCCTGAGAGTTCACTAAGGATTTAATATCCTCCACACTAATAGTGTTTTTTCCATACAGTAATGTAGTAACAAAATGCTAATAGGAAGGAGGCAAAGAACACAACAAAATAAAGGCTTGATTCTCGTCATTAATTTTAATATCAATATTTTTCAAATCTATAATAATAGAATTGAAATAATCAATATGCTCCTTTAGAGACATACCTTCTTTCATATGAAGGGTGTATAGTCTCTGTTTCAGATAAAATCTGTTGGTGAGAGACTTCGTCATATACGGACTCTCCAATTTCAGCCATAACTTTGCTGTCGTGTCTTCATCAATAACTTCACGCAGCATTTCTTCAGTTAGATTCAAAAGAATCGCAATGCGTGCCTTTTTATTGACATCATCCTTATTTTTATTGGACATGGTTGTTGGCAACTTGTCTTTCTCGAACAACATTTTCTTTGGACATTGCTGAGTCAACAGGCCTGCATCTTAATGCGCCAAAGATTGAAGCTAATCTTGCTATTAAATTTATGAATCTCGTATCTAGTCGATGTCTCAAAAACTCCTCAAAATATTTATCGGTGAATAGTACCGTATTTGTGAATAATACCTGAATAGTATCTGTGTATAGTATCGTACGTGTGAACAGTATTTGTACACAATACACAAACCGAGCTCTGATACCAGTTTGTTATGAAAAAATGATCGAATAAGAGTTTATGAGAACAATAGAAAAATAAATGACAAGAAAATAAAATAGCACACATACACAGACGAAACAGTGATTTACGTGGTTCGGCTATACTTACGTCCAAGGAGAGAAGACAGAACAATATTTCACTATGGAAATAAAGAGTTACAAGGCAAAGTGATTAACACCCAAAACCCAAATACACCCACAAGCTCTCACTCTCTAACGGATATTATAAACTCAATTGATGATTTTGGATACTTTTAATCAAATGAGTGCAAGGTTAATTATAGCAAAAAAAAATACTTTGTGTCCAAGTATATTACAAAGCTTCCTTTGGAAGTCAAATGGCACTTGCTGCCCAAGAATTTCAAAGCTTCCTAAGGAAGCTTCACCATCATACTTCTGTAGCCAATATATTTCCTTCTTTTGTGGGCTTTGTGCAAGTTAGGTTGTAATAATTTTTGAGTCACATAATTCAATAGATTATATTGCTATTGCATTGAAAAGAAAAGAGAAATGAATTGTTTTGGAAAGAGATACCCATTGACACGATACTTTTTGTTCTTGTTGCACTTTCACCTTTTATTTTAAAAATATTGTTAATATTCATTTATTCTTTTAATATTGTGCAAAAATACACTTTTTTTTTTTAGAAATTTAACATGACGTAATGATGTAATGCCCATTTTGTCTTTTTACTCTTTTGAAAATGTCCAAGCTAATAGTCTAAATATTATGTGCTCAAGAAATACAAGAATATTGTTGTTAGAATATATTCTATAATATATTGTTACCATAAATTGTTAGAATATATTCTATAATATATTGTTACCATATATAGGTTTACCATTCTTTCAAAGATTACTATTTTTATTTTGGTAATTATCTTTTATTGCTAATGGTAAAATAAAATATAAAAACTAAAAATAAGGTGATATTGGTTTTGTGTTAAAAGAAAATGCTTAGATTTAATAGGTCCATATAAAAAATGTGGATTAATTTTCTTGCTCCGCAGGGTTGCAATAGATCAGGACTCTCTATATAAAATAATGTATGCATTGCACATTTGACGCATTGTACTCCTCTAAATTTAGTAACTGAAATGATTGTTTTGCCCCATTTTGTACATGAATCTTGTATACTTCATTTAGAAGATGAAGGGTACCTTATCAATTCAATCATTAAAATAAAAAGTAGAATAAATTTATCATTTTAATTATTAAAATAGAAGGATAGAGTACGTGAGGTGGAAATTAAGTTCCCTGTGAAGAAACTCAGTGGATTCCAACGGAAAATGAAACAAATAGATCATTAAATTTAAAGGTATTTTGAACATTTTTTATATTTTAATATATTACAAATAAATAAAGGCTAACTTTCTACATTTCGGAAAGCAAAAGTAATAAATTCTAAACGGGCATGCCATGTTATTGGTATGTCAATTAGTGAAAATTCATTGTACGATAAAATTAATCTTAACACACAAAATTTAGTACGTGGTTATGGACCAATTATCATTGGGAATGTATGTAATTGTATTGAAAATTTATAAATTTTTACATTATCTCGGTAGTCAGGACCATTGGTCTCAACCAATCACCACTCGACAAGTAAAAAAAAAATTGAATAAAGCTTAGGCCATGCTGACACATCGATCTACTGATGTGTCAAGTGTTAATTAGTTTGGGATCAATACTGGCGAGGCCATGTAAAAATTTTCCCCACGCACCAAATAACATACTTTTTCAAATTGACATTTCTAAGTTTAACATACTTTTTCAAATTGATGTGTCAAAGTTTTCATTATGTCATGTAACAATTTCACACACATTTACTCATTTTTAAGAAATTATTAGATTGGTAGCACCCATTATGCTACTTAAAGCATCTCCAACAGTTGTGTGTGTGTATATATATTTATATAAATTTGATGTGTCATAATAGATTTACACAAAAAATTTGAATTATTTATTTTTAGCTCCAGCGGTTGTTTTATACTTTTTGTGTAAAAATATATCCCCAATAACAACCATCTCGTGTCATGCCTGGACTCCACATAATTTTTACAAACCTACTCAATATAGGGTTGATTAGTTAATGAAATGATAAAGATGGAGGGAAGAAAGTAAATATGCTGATGTGGCTGTGTAAAATGTTGTGTAAAATACATAACAATTTTACACATCATTAATGTAGTGTATCTTAAGAGCATCTCCACCCATTGTTCAACTCTTTGACAACATGAAAAAACCAAAAGCTCTGCCCTCCCTCTCTATCTATCCAGGGGATGGAAGGGCAGAGGCCTTTGGTGTCCCCTCCAGTCAAGAATTGGGGTCTCACAATCACTAGCCAATATGTTTTTCTCTCATGTCTTTCTTCATTCATAGTTCGATATTCTGGTGTCCTAGGCGTAGAGGAACCACACCAATCCATCCCGAACTTGGTGGTTAAACTCTACTACGGTGACGATACTGATTCATCGATATTGAATCAATAGAATGCACTTCTAACACTTGTTATACTTTTGGAAGACCCTGCGTTATATCACCAAATCTCAATTTTTTATATATAAATGTAACTAGTGTATCTTGTGTATATATTTTTTTATACAAAAATTTTAGATTATTTATTTTTAACTCCAACGGTTATTTTATACCATTGTGTAAAAATATATCCCCAATAACAAGTAACTAGTGTTATGCCTAGACCCCATATAATTTTTACAAACCTATTTAATATAGGGTTGATCAGTTAATGAAATGAGAAAAAGGGAAAAGAAAAAAAAAAAAATACTGATGTGGCTGTGTAAAATACACAAATTTTATACATTAGTCATGTAGCAGTGTATCTTAACAAGCTACTATAGATAAAAAAAATTACACCTACGTGGTAGTGTATAACACTCTTTTGTTTACACATCATACGTGACGAGATATCTTAACAAATTGTTGGAGATAAAACACTCTTTTGTGTAAAATATACATTACCACGTATGATGTTTAATTTTTTTTTTTATCTCTAACAATATGCTAAGTTACATTGTCACATTACCAATATGTAAAATTATTGTGTATTTTATACAACCTTTTTATATAGTCTCTATCTCATTTTATTAACTAATCAATCTTATATTAAGTAGGTTTGTAAAAATTATGTGGGGTTGAGACATGACAATTATTAGTTGTTTTTGACAAATATATTTCTACACAAAGATATAAAATAACTGCTGCAGCTAAAAAATAATAATAATAATAATCCACTCCCGTATGTCACATCAGATTTAAATTTAGCTATCATATTTGAATGTGTATATTTTATACGAAACAGTATTTTAACATATTTGACAATTGTCTCAGCCTCTCAGGTGAAGGAAAAAAAATTGAATTTAACACATTTTACTTGCGCGTGAGATGGCACATGACAATTAAATAATTTTCCTGAAGCCGTACGCAGAACAGATCCTGGGATGTCGCCGCCGAATCCTATAATTTACTAGGTAATATTTCAGATCTCTATTTTTTTTTTGTGCGTTCAAGTATTAAACTTTTCAATTTTTTTTTGATGGTTTATTCACTCAGACTTGGTGTCTATCATAGATCCATCTCTGCTCTTGCCACACTTTTTTTATTTTATTTTAAATACTAACATTTGATCTTATCAGAGCGAGAATATATGCGTATGTTGTCCTTCCAAATTTATTTTTATTTAATTATTTTACCATTTGTTTGATGTTTCAAGTTCTAAAAGGTTCAATAGGGAAGGAAGGAAGGAGGCTTATCGTTTTTGCACGCTGATTACCGTCAGACTTTATGTGGAACTACAGTAAATATCCAGGTGTTGTGTGGGAATGTAATGTTTTTGTGCCAAAGGACCAGGAGTTACCCCCTATTCATGAACTTTTGGAGCTTCTATGGTAGAAGTCAAAATTCATCATTTCTTGGTTTATTTTATTATTATTATTATTATTTTTTTTTAATATGCTTTGATTGAGGTTTTGATTTATATACTGTATTTGATTTTTGATTTTGTTTTGGGTACAGCTATGGTATTAAGTGGAGCCCTACCCATTCTATTTTCAAGTTGTTTTTGATATTATGCCTGCCGAAAATGGTATGCAGCTTCTGCATTATATTTACTCATATTGATATTGATGTTAGAAAATTTATCATTCAGATTACTCAAGTATGTTGGGATAAATTACACTAATGCTATTCAGTACAATTTTGTGTCAGGGACTATGGGAAATTACTAGGACTTCTCTATATCGCGCAAATCACAAGGAGCTACAGGATCTTATTTGCCATTATGCGGAAGAAGGACAGCCCATTAAGTTGGCTGCTTTGCTTTGCTTTCTTCCGGTTGAATTTTTCTGTTTTTCATCAGATTTTGATGGATCTGCTGAATCGTTAAGTACTTACGTAGAACGAAAAGAGACCGAATGGTTAACTAGAATTGAGGCTTTACGTGGAAGGATTTCAGGTAAGATCTTGTCACTAATTGTTGAGGAGCGGAAATTAATGGGCAGTGGAAGCAGTGATTTGGCTCAGATATGCAAGAAGAAGAAGATGTTGATGATGTCTGTGATGTTGTTGATTGAAATCTACGAGAGATTTGGTGATGATATAGGATTTTGTGTGACTGGGGCAAATGGCATGGTATGTTACAATACCTCCTCAGTTCCCTACTCTCTCTCTCTCTCGTGAATTTGATGACACTGGTGTAGTATTGGCTAACTAACAGCTTTTATGCTGGTTGACCGTTGTCCTCATGCAATCCCAGTCAATTATTTTTACTGGGGTTGGATGGTAAACTTTATTTCTATGTTTCTGCTTTTAAAAATTTCATTTGCTTTCTTTTGGTTTCTTTTAACAGACTTTGGAGCAGTCTAAAAGAATGGCAAACATTCTTGTAGACAAGCTCAAGGAATCAGGCTTCCCAGTCAAGAATGAATTTTTTGAAGTTTTTAAACATCTTAACTGGTTTGTCATGCTATCTACTTGTATTTTATATTGTTTTCATGCTATCTACTTGTATCTAATATGGTCTTTTGTTTCATTCTTGGCTTGGTTTGTTTGCTCTCGTTATTTTATAACAAGTTTACACTGCATTCCTTAATAGCTAAGACTAATGGATATCTTCTTATTTTCTTCCATACCCGGATGTGAAAGTTCCAGTGATGAGCGGCAACCGAAGGTTGCAGGTTGTTGATTGATTTCTTCCTCTTACATTATACTCACTGGTACTTCACAAGTATGGCAAAGAAGTAGTTTGGCACGTCCTTTTTAAAGTTGTTAATATATAGTATTTTTTCTTCTCCTTTTTAACTGATTCAGGTGGTGCTTGTGGATCTAAATTTGAACAAAAGGATCCTAAAATCCCAGTCTACAAAAAAATTCAGAGTCCTCCAATAACAAAGGTAAGAAAGATAATAACCAACTTCCTATTATTCTTCTCCTCTCTTCCTCCCTCTTTTAATTTTTTTTTTTACGAAGTGTTTGTGAGGTTCTGATCTCTGAAACTATTAACAAGCCTTTCTAACAAGTAATTTGTTGAATTCATAATAATCAAGTTAGTTAGTTCATGATAGTATGATTAGGGTAATGGACAAGATACGAAGATATCAGGGATTGGTTGGGAAACTTATATATTTATCTCCCACTCGCAGCTAGGCATTATGGCTGAGATCCATCTAAGGCCTTGATATTTGTACTTAGCTGTTTTGGGGTTCTCATAAGTCCAAGATGTTGTAGTACATAAAACTTGAGTTTTTAGTAAGGCTGGGCCCAAAATCCTATACCTTCACTCTAGTTATGGTTTATAGTAGGGAGTTTCTTAGTGGAATCTTTCTTGCTGACAAGAGAGTCAACGGGAAGAACAGATAGATTTTAGGTTAGGGAGGGTCTTCATAATTGAATAGCTGAGGGCCTTCAACAGCCCCTAAAAAATGAATCTTGTTGGTACCTTTGACGAAACCTAAAGTTTCTTTTTTGTCATAGTCTCAGAGGTAACAGAAGGGTAGGCAAAAGCCAATGAGAAAATAGAACTAGAACTACGGCATGGAATTGAGAAAGGGATTGTTAGTAAGAAATAGGGGCTGTAGCTAACGGGTCAGGAAGAAAATCTCATTTTGAATTCTGAAACTAAGAGATCTTAATAGTAGAAAATGACCCGATGAATGGCTAGAAAATATTCCCTATTTTGGGAAGTAAGAATCCATGGTCCCGCCAGTTGTATAATAACGGTGGCTTTCCGACCCCAATCTTTGTTCTTCTTCCCCCATCTAGTCTTGTCAAAGCCAAATCCCTTTACTATACTATAAAATAGTCCTAGCCAATAAAGTTCCCCCAGCGCCCAAAAGCCTAGCCGTGCTACAATCCAATCAGATCGGTGCCCTTTGGTCGACGAACTGAACCTTGCTTTTAGAAAGCTGGGATGAAGTTTATGAGGATCGGGAGTGAGTATGGCTTCTAACCCGTTCTCTTGTCTTTGAAATGTCTTTGACAACTTTCAACAGAAAAAGCCTCTGATCTGAGGGCTCTGTTATTCCTCCAAATAAAAAGAAAAAGTCAATTCACAATTCCACCACTATCTATCTTTCTTGCTCTTCCAAGGGCTGGAGCTTTCCTTTGCTTGACCCCGATAAGTAGATCCTGGGCACCTATCCACTCCACTCCGTCAAAGCAGTTATTTTTGGTAGACATTCCAGTATCCCATTGCTATATCTTTCCTTTGTCTTTATCCCCAGTTTGCCTGCACTTTATTCGTTGCTTAGAATGTCCTGTCCTACTTCTGTCATCGCGAATGATTTATCGTAACAGATGTGAGTTGTCGTCCTACTGATTCCGTATCTCCCTCAGGTTGAAAGCTGGGTGTTCACTGCTCTTCTAGAGTAAATGGAGAAAACTCCCTGCCACTTCCATAGCCTTTCCCATCCTTATGGCCGGAGACATCTAGGCGAGTGGTGGACCTTGCAGCTTGTAGGCGCCAAAAGAAAGAATAGCAGGCCTCCAACAGTTCAAGTACGGAAAGGAGTCAATCCAATGATCCTACAACGGACCCCCGAAGATCCTCTGAAGAACCTTATGAAGAAAGAAGTCAAGAATAAGAACATTGGCTTAGGAATTTGCTTTCCATTGTAATAAACATACTTCCAAGCTTCCTAAATATAAGAGCACTAAATATATGAAGATTAATAGTGGAGTCGTCTGGCTGTTTCTCCAACCGAATGACTCCTCTGGTAACTTCCTCCGTCACTCTCCCATGGGTAAGGGAACTAGGCTAGCAGACAGATCAATCCCCTTGATGCAACTTGCCTTTGCTAACCTTGCCTTACCCACAGCGAGCTGACAACAGCCATGCATGCAAGACCTTTATTACTTTTCTGGCTTGGAATATCAGAAAATGGACATGCAAGAAATGGAGTTGGATTCATAATGATTCGGAGAGTGATATTGTATGTCTATATGAAACTAAGTAGGTAGGAGAAAAGGTTAGAGATTGAGAACACAGGATATAAACTTTATTAGACTGCAAAAGAGAAACTGAGAAATGGAGTAGCGGTTATCGTCAATGATGAGAATTTAAAAGATGTTATAATTATTTTTTGAAAGAAGATCGGATAATATACTTAGCACTTATGCACACCCCAAGTAGGACTAGCTGGAGACACTTTTTTTTTTTTTTTTTGGGCAAGTGACTGTGAATTTTGCGGTGTGGAAGTGGTTAGTTAATTTAGTGAAAGACAGTGTTGCTTAGAGCTAGAGGGGGTAAGTCTTGTTGCGATTTTTATAATTGATTAATTATCCATGCTGATTAATAATTAAATCTAAACAGTTCTCAAACTAAATAATAAAGTAAAGCAAGTAAAGGAAAAAATACACCAGTTTTATTTAACGTTGAAAAACCTCAGTGAGGAAAAAAACCACGGAGACTAGATGTCTTGGGCAAATCAATCCACTATCTCAACGAAAAGTTACACAAACCCTGTCTCAATCTCTCACACACTCCATTATGCCAAGAACTAGTTGCTGAACATTCTAGACTGACTCTTGCGACTCCTTGTATTCCTCAATTCTTGTGGAAGGGGTGGTGGAATAACATGAACGATCTGTTCCCTTTGTAGCGATTGACTCCCCTTCCTTCCACACACAGTTGCGAAGATGTAAGAAAGAATCTGCTGCGCTGATTGAACTGAATAAACTGATGCTGTCTTTGAAAATCCATTTATCAGATGAAAATCGTCACCCTAAAACACTCACGTTTATGTGTATGTTCTAAAAAATATAAAAATATACTTAGAAAAATCATTCTAAGCTCCAAACTCCAACAATGGTGTGCAAAAAATAGTTTGTCTCTCTCCAAAAAAAATTGTAGAGCTGAGTATAGAGAAGTTTAAATACCCAAAGGAGTCCAAATAAAAGTGGGAAAAGTGATGTTAAAATCTTATTGGACGTCGAAGTGTTTTGGCTGGAAAAGATAATCAAAATCTCATAAAAAATTAGTATCCCAAACCTATTAGGACAACTCCAATTGATTTCCAACTTGTTGGACTTGCCCGAGGCATGTGTGTGGGTGAGTACCAACTAAGAAAAAAAAAGTACAGAGACCACTCCAATCGGGTGGGAAATTTCCAATTGATTAGATTGTGCCGATCCAAGTAGATGGATCGGCTAGTAATATACCAATCGGTTGAACTTTTTAGGAAACTAAGTTATAAAAATTTATGTCTATTTTCCAAGCTTTTCTTAACCAACTTTAGGAAACTAAACTTTTAAGCCTATTTACTTGGGCTTTCTCAATCAAACTTGGTGCAACAAGCGTTGTAACGACCCTGGATTTTACAAACCCAGTGTGTCCTGTGATAATCCGAAACGGATCCAAAATGCGGAAGCTAAATAGAAACATGGTCTCTAAAGATGTACATCATCCCTAAGACACAAAAGTGGCTTCCTGAGGAGCCCTGAGGCTCAAAGGAAGCAAGAAGGAAACCAGGATTCCAAAACCCTACAAGAAATGGACCAAGGGTAAAATGGTCATTTCACCCAGAAATGAGTGCTACCGTGCACACCATTGGAAAGACAACGAAAAATTAATAAAGTTAGACTCAAGAGTCACCTGATTCAGAGTCCGAACGGAAAGGTTATGAAATTAAAACAAAGTGACCTTTTCCGTTTAAGAGTTACCACGAACCTATCTTACTAAAACTGAAATAACTCTCAATACAGTTAGAGTTTTGGAGTGTGGTTGGTACCATTGGAAAGTTAACTTCAAGCTCTTGAGTTTTGAATCAAGAATGACTCGATTTGGATTAAAGACGAGTGAGATATGACCTTCTGAAGTCGGTCCAAGGAAACTGTCCAAGAGAAACTGAAAAGGAAAGTCCCAGGGAGGATCGGTCAACCGACGACAAGGATCAGCCGGCCGAAACCCCATCGTCAGCCAGCCGAACTCCCATGGTTAGCCGACCGAAACGCCATTTTTCACTAAAAGGCTACCAAAATTGAGTCTCGAGGCTTGTCAGCCGGCCAATGGATCTCATTAACCGACCGACACATCTGCTGCAACAAAAATAAAGCTGCTGCAATGTGTGTGTGTGGTGCCCTGTCCGTCTCTAAGGTTCTACATGCTTTCTATATGATCTGAGCAAGTTTCAAAACCTCCTATGGACTCAAACAAGCATCCATAACATGCTAAAACGAAAAGGAACCTCAAATGATACCCCAATGCATGAATTTTTCATGAAAATTCATAAAATCGCCCAAAAATAATTCCAAAGTTGAAACTTAAGAGTTTTGTGAAATGTGGACATGCACGCAAACGTAAAAAGACATTTAAGACGCGTCCCAATGGTCTGCGGCTTCAAAATGTCCTCAATGCAAAATATGATCTCTCATCGGCCAAAAATGCCTTAAAATACAATAAATGAAATTAAAATGCAAAACCTAGAACAAAATGGTGTTTGGCCCTTGGCCACACCTCAAACATGATCATAGAGACCGCGTGAAAGAAAAAGAATGGAATTCCCACACCCTATGCAAAAATGGTGAAGGAAAGACTTAACATTTTCCATTATTTCCATAGAAAACCTTGAAAACGAAAGTGCATAAAATACAAGATGCATGTCATTGACCTCCGGTCTTATCTCTTACATGATAAATACATTACAAAGGTGTACTTATGTACACATTACATAAATAGAATCAAAGATACAACTTTTGTCATATTAAGCTACAAATCACCGAAGGCAATGCAATCTCCAATCTTGGATCCTGTACCTGAAAAATTCCTCAGTAACTTCGGGGTGAGTAACATAAAGCTACTCGTAGGAGATGAGCATACATCGACCTAGCATTTTACAAGATTATCACCTTAAGGTGAAACATGTTAAAGGGGCTCATGCCACCTAACGTCTATGTC